TCTTTTGTCTTTTAGAACTGATCCTGGAGCTTTCCCTCACAAAGGAAAATGCCCTGTTTCAGCTCTTGCAAACCGTTTCAAGTCCTTGAATTTAACTGATTCTTGGGTCTGTTATCCTCTGTCAGATGGCTTTGACCACAATTTGATTACTATTCTCTTATTCTTTCTGAGAAGTCTATCAGAAACAGCAGTGAATGGCCTCAGCTTCCTCATTTCCCATGCAAAAACTTGTCAACAGCTTGTAGGTATTGCCTGTAGACAGTCCCATAGCTGTCACTTAGGTATTTTGTGGTGATGGATGAAACAGGACAGGAAAGATTGGACTGACTTCCACCATGTGGTACCTACAAAAACAAGGACTCTCAATTATTCAAACTGAACTAGGAATCCTCAGGTGTGTCAGTGATTGGGAGGCCATGTTGGAGGCATGGTCAACCTGTGCCTTATGAGTACTATGAGTGCCATTTCGGTGGAGGTAGGGGCAAAGGGTTTACCCAGCAAATGCAAACAAGACTTTATTTCCAGGGCACTCAATGCTCCCTGACTATACTTCTTGTAATGTCTACCTCCAATTTTGTTTTTCTTTTAAAAAGTCATTCTGGCTATTGCAGATCCTTCCTATTTCCAAATGAATTTTAGTGTCAGGTTGCAAATTGCTTCACAAAAGCCTGATGGTATTTTCAATGGAATTGCATTGGATTTATAGATCAATTTGGGGAGAACTGACATCCTAACATTATTAAATCTTCTGATTCATGAATACAGTGTATCTTCATTTATTTAGGTCTTTTTATTTTCTCTCAGCAATTTTTTTGTAGTTATCATTGTAACTTTTTACCTTATTGAGTGCTGGAAGGTTTTGTATGCCTATAAATATTCTTGAGTTGTGTTTTGGCTCTCAACTAAGTTACTGGAAACATTCAATCCTTTCAGGTCTTACTTTTAAGCTTTGACAGGTCCAGAGGAGTGTTTAGTGTAAGACTGTTTTTGAACCCTTCCTGAGGCAAAATCTTTTGAGCACTTTACTCACTGCCTCTTAAATTATAAAACTTTTGACTCTACCTGGTGGTAACGTGAAATATTCTGAGCTCTTTGTGGGCACTGAGTATCATATCCTATCATGCTTCCAGGTGGTCCTTTTCCCTGGCCTTGGATAGTTTTCATACATGTATACAGTGATCATTACCCAGTTGAAGACTAAAGGGGTGCCCTAAAGATTTATGGAGCTCTCTTTGTTCTTTAATTTCTTCTGTAGGATTCTCCTCTTTGAACTCTGGCTTCCTTGGCCTTCCTGGACACCTCCTTCCCTCAACTCAGAGACCGCTAGAAGCTGCCTGGGTTTTCTGTTCTTTGTATCATGACTTGGAACCACCTGTCTTCAGGCAGTAAGCTTAGGAAATCACAGGGCTCATCTTGTCTGTTTCCTGTTATGCAGGGGTCATTATCATTCATTATCTGATAACCAAGGTATCAAAATTCATTGTTTCATAGATTTTGTCTGATTCTTTACTTGTTCCAGACAGGAGGTAAAACCCAGTTGCTGTTACTCCATCTTGGGTGGAAGGAGAACTCTTCACATAAACCCAGTTGCTGTTACTCCATCTTGGCTGGAAGCAGAACCCTTCACATTATCCCTTGAAGGATAATATGTATGGTATGTGTCCATGGCACAAGGTCTATGATTTAATTTAAATTAACTTTCAGGTGTGGCATGAGGCAGGGGTCATGGATAATTTTTTTTTCGCTCAATGATATCAGTTTTCATTTTCATTGTTGGAAAGATTTTTCTTTCCCCATTGAAGTACACTGGTACTGTTTAAAATCAATTGACTTTACATATGTGGATATATTTCTTAACCCTCTATTTGTTCCATTTTTGTCTATCTTCGTGTAATATACTTACTATAACTTTATAACTCCTGTAGTATATGTCATTTAAATATTTGCTCATTTTTTTCAAGATTGTTTTGGTTCTAGCCTTTTTCATTTCCATATAAATCACAAAATTATTTTCTTGATTTCTAGAAAATAATCTGCTTGGATTTTGATCATAGATGCATTTAATCCATAGATAAATATTGATAGACATTTTAGCAATATTGGGTCTTCTAATCCATTAATATGGTATATAATCTCCATTTATTTGGATCTTCTTTAATTTCTCTCAGTAATGTTATATAGTTTTCACTGTAGATGTCTGGAAATTGTATTGTTGTCTGGAAATACAGCTTTATTTCTTTCATTGAAATCATTATGCCTTTATTTCTTTTTCTTGCCTTAGTGCACTCCAGTATAATATTGAATAGACATAGTGAGAGCAAATATCCTTGCCTCCTTCCGATCTTAAGGAAAAATCAATTTTTCACTCTTAAAAATGATGCTAGCTGGAGATAGTTCACAGATGTCCTTCATCAGATGAAAAAGTTCCTCTCTATTCATAAGTATTGTTTGTTTTCAAAGAATAATCTATTCATGTCACAGACACAAACCACTGCAAAATTTGATATTACATGCTTAAATTTATTAACTTTTTAAACTTCTTTGCTTTACATTGTCAGCACTGATAACTTTTCTATGGTTCTTAGCTGTGCTGACTATTAAGGCTACAGATATGAATGGTGAACTTTTGGCTAGACTCATGCTGAGAGTTTTGCTAATGTATGCTAACTTGACAACTTGACCATTAAGATTTTACCAACAAAATAAGAAATGACTAGATATAATCCATTTTCAGGGTTCTAGAAAATAACTGAAATTGGCTGTGTTAAATCTAAGGTCTTCTTCTATCTCTCCTGATTTTTAGTTCTATCTTTCCTATCCCTTTCATTTACAGTGGTTTTGGGAGATTTTGAATTTAGCAATTCAATTCTTTCTAAACTACTTTCTTAATTTTATTGCCAACTTTAAAAAATTGTTGGTGGAAAGTTTAATAAATCTGATCATTTATATGTACATTTTCTTTATTACTGACATAAAACGCACATACTGAAAAGTGCACAAATAAGCATATGCCTTCATGATTTTCTTTTTTTCTTTTCTAGATAGAGTCTTGCTCTGTTGCCCAGGCTGGAGTACAATGGCACAATCTCGGCTCACTGCAACCTCCATCTCCTGGGTTCAAGTGATTCTCCTGCCTCAGCCTCCCAAATAGCTGGGATTACAGGCACCCGCCATCATGCCCGGTTAATTTTTGTATTTTTAGTAAAGATGGGGTTTCACCATGTTGACCAGGCTAGTCTCAAACTCCTGACCTCAAGTGATGCACCACCTCAGCCTCCCAAAGTATTGGGATTACAGGTGTGAGCCACTGTGCCCGCCTGCCTTCATGAATTTTTGAACACACCCAGAAAGAGCAGAAGACAACATTTCTGGCACTCCAGAAGATGTCTTGTTTTCCCTTTCCAGGCAACCCCAGTGGTAACTCCCAGTGGTGTGCTGGAGCTAGCCTACACCAGCTCTTGGGAGCTGATAAATTTTCAGGAATCTCTGATGAGGCATTCAGATTTTACTGGAAAATTAGAAATAATTAGATACAATCAATTTTCAGAGTTTTAGAAAATAGTTTAAATCTATTATGTCAAATCTAAGGTCTCCTTTAAATCTGGTTTTTAGTTTTAGTACCATCTTTCCTATTCCTTTCATTTACACACAGGCATTATTAACAATTAAATTATATCAATTAATATTTTATTTTAGTAATATATTTTATAAGCTGATATATTAAAAATAGTATTTCAACGCAATCAATATAAAATTATTGAGATATTTACATTCTTTATTTTCATAGCAACCCTTTGACGTGTATTGTATATGTTACATTCATAGCACATACCAGTTGGATCAACACGTTTAAGGTGTTCAGTAGCCACCTGGGGTTGTGGCTCCCACATTGGATAGCACAGTTGAAACCCTACATTGCTTTATTTACCACTGAGCAATATGTTTTCAACTTTGTTTCAAAGCTCTTAGACCTTTCAGTATTTCATAATGTAAGCCCCTTCTATTTCAGGGACTATGTAGTAATACATACTCACACTTGAATGATGCTACTAAAGCTTCCCCTTCCTCACCTTTTTCCTTTCAAATTTAGATTTTCTGTTGCCTGGAAAATGCATATGAACCAGTTCAACAAGTAAATTGATCTCCCCTGCCGCCCCCTACCACAGTCTATATGTGTGTTTTTCTTTTCCTTTTTTTTTTGTACTTTTAAGTTCTAGGGTACATGTGCACAACCTGCAGGTTTGTTACATATGTATACATGTGCCATGTTGGTGTGCTGCACCCATTAACTCGTCATTTACATTAGGTATATCTCCTAATGCTATCCCTTCCCCTCTCCCCATCCCACAACAGGCCCCGGTGTGTGATGTTCTCCTTCCTGTGTCCAAGTGTTCTCATTGTTCAATTCCCACCTAATAAGTGAGAACCAATTAATATTTTAAAATATTAAAAACATTTTACTTTGTTCAACTTAAAGACAAAATTAATATATTTCTTGAGGTCAAATTATCGAAAAAAACTCCATCTTGTAAAATTGCATATTAAAGCAGTGCGTGGAAGCTGATGGCAAGAAACCACTTAAGTGTCACAACTCTGCTTCGAGTTAATTCCTAGTCCATTTGATTTTGTTTTGCTTTTAAGATCACAAAGCTGATGTACACTTCCGTGCGAGCTTAGAGTCTGGTAATGAACTCCACAATACACTGAAAAGAGTTTGAGGAGATAGCAGATGAATGAAGGACTGGGGCTCCGGTTTTGCAGGTGAAGCCCAGGTTCTTAAAGGTCCTACCAGGCCTGTATTTTATTTCTCCTTCGCAGGCCTCTAGGCCAAATGCCTCGATGAATCTGCGCTCCGCGGGCGTCCCGGAATTACATATGGGAAAGAATAAGGAAGGAGGAGGCCGACGTGCCCATGGACATTATCAACCTTCCGTCAGATCCCCACAGCGGCCAAACTGCGTCTCCTCTGCCGCTCTTGGCGCGCAGCTCACGCCCGCAGCGTCAGCGACGTCGGCGGCGCCAAGGCGTCGTGGCGTCGGGCGTCTGGGACGTGGCATCAACGGCCCCATCCGGCGCCGGCGGCGGGCGCCCGTCGGTCTTTGCTGCCGCCCGGGGGCGCAGAGGCCGGGCCTTTTCTTTAAGCACAAACGTCAGTTTGTAAAAGGGTGGGGCTGGAGTCTGAGGAGTTTTCAGGCTTCTGTCTCGAAGGAAGTCTGGCAGACTCGGAATTGCCATCTTCCTCAGGCAAATAGTTTTTCACCTTAGAGCCAGCCTTGGCAAGGCCAAACCGCCCAGTCACCCGACTTCCCACAGTCTCAGCAGGTACACAGGGCCGGGAGCCTCGCGAGCGGCTCCCTCAGCCGGATCTGAGGGTTTCGGGAGAGTCCTGGGTTTGCACTTAGTTTTCCCGCTGCCTGGCTGCCTCCGTGGCGGTTGTGCTGCTTTTTATGCAAGATCTGGGATCGAAGGCAAATCATCCTTTCCCTACGCCCCCTGCCGACCCTTGCTGCTCTCCTCGATTTTGTACACTGTCATTAAAGGGTTTGAAATGAATGTACATTAATCCTTGAAGGATGAAACCAGAAAACATTTGTCGTGGTGGCAGAAAGGGACAGATGCACTTGGGCGAAGTAATGCTGACATCCACTTCCTAGCATTGTTAGGAGGGATAAATGAATTAAATATGTAAAATCCTTAAATATTTGCTTGCTAATACAAGTATTCATTGCGTGTGACTCTATTTTTGTATTTATGTGAACTTCATCGGAGCATTTGTCAGGTTCTTTTTTCTCTTTTTTTTTGCACTAAGTGAGCGTGGCCGGCCGGCCGGCCTGCCTGCCTTCCTGCCTGCCTTCTTTCCTTCCTTTCCTCACACTGTTTTGGGGGGAGAGGACACAATGCAATCCATAATACACTTGTTCTTTTTTCCATCGAACTTTCCTCTTGACCATGTTTTCTTCTAGTAATACTCTATTTCTTTCCTCCCTTTTGTAGTAAAATTTGTCTACAGTGGTTGTATTCAATTCTTTGTTCTTACTTCCTGTCTTTTGAACGGTAAGTCAGGTATTTACCTCGATCATTCTACTGAAATTGTTGCCGTTCTGTTCTTCAGGTTACAAATGACCTACCTCCATGTTGCCAAATCCAGTGTCAGCTCTTAGTCTTCATTTTACTTGACTCAGCATTTGACATAGTTCATCGCTCCGTCCTTGGTGACATTTTCTTTTCCTTGCTTTCTATGTATATGTGCCCTTTTGGTTTTACTTATTGGCTCATTGGCCACTCTTCTTACATCCTGTTTGCTGGTCCTGATGGTTTTGGTGGAATTTTTGATGTTTGCTTGGACCTGATGGTTTTGATGGAGTTTCTTTGGCAATGTAATTTATTCAGAATTCTTTTGAGGCTTTTCAATTTTGTAAATTTAGTCTTGGTTTCTGCATCATTTTGCTTGTAACGTTAATTTTTACGTAAAGCATTACGTCACAATCGGTATGAGAATAATGTAAAAGGGGGCAGTCACGGTGGCTCAGGCGTGTAATCCCAGCACTTTGGGAGGCCGAGGAGGGCGGATAACCTGAGGTCAGGAGTGTGAGACCAGCTTGGCCAATGTGGTGAAACCCTGTCACTACTAAAAATACAAAAATTAGCCGGGCGTGGCAGCGGGTACCTGTAATCCTAGCTACTCGGGAGGCTGAGGCAGGAGAATCGCTTGAACCCGGGAGGCGAAGGTTGCAGTGAGCCAAGATTGCGCCATTGTACTCCAGCCTGGGTGACAAGAGTGAAACTCTGTCTCAAAAAAAAAAAAAAAAAAAGAAAAATGTAAAAGGGAATATTTTGCAGGGGCTTTGGTTCAAGTGTTATAATGTATGTATTTACTATTATCATCAGTAGTTTCCAGTAGAGCAATGTGTTCTTCCTTCAAATGGATTTTTAGTGACACTGGTATCAAGTTATCTTTGCTAAGTGATATTTGACTATGATTTAAAAATTATGCTTGATGACTATGCATTCAATTAACTATAGTGTATCATCAAAACAAAAAAGCAGTTGTATAATTCTTGGATGAAATAAACATTTTCAGTGCTATTAAGATATTTTCATTCTATTGTTTACCACCTAGTTTAAAGAATGTAACAGCAAGTTGTATAAAATATCTTAGAATTTTAGTTTTTGAGAATTTTCTGTTTGTGCTTGTCAGACGTATTTAAGGGCATGTATCCCTGGCCCCATATATATTATATGTTTTTAATTTTAATTTTTTTATAAGTAATCTCTTAAACATGTATATGATTCTTTTCCAGCGGGGTGTCATCATCTACTTGTTAAAATCCTAATAAATGTTCACATATTGAAATATCTGGATTTTGGAAATTCATAATTACATCAACAATTGTTATCTGCTGTCCATGTGTCCAAAGTAATTGAGAAATTATTAGTTTTTAAAACTTTATTCAAAGTGATTTTATTTATAACATCTGTAAGTTGTATTATTTGTTTTTATATTTTATTCTCTGAAATAGTATATTATACTATTTGGTATTGATATTTGTGTTTTGCATAAATGTGCTGACAGGATATTAACTTTTGCCGTGATTTCTGGCAAATAAAAAAATACTATTATTGGTCTTTTATTATTTATTGGATGATCTTCTGAATATTAGATACTGCTTCTCCAAAAATTCAATCATGTTTATTGTTATTAACAAATATATAGGCCTTTATTTTCTCATTTTCAGTAGAATTGCTAATTATATTTTTTTCAAACCTGCTACTAGCTTTTAATACTTATCACTATTGATGTGTATTTTATTAATGTTCAACAATATGTGATAAATGCTGCTGATCTTTGCATCATTTTTTATTCTTCAGCTGGATTATTCCTCAACCGTTTTTGTTCTTTGCATCAGTTTTTATTCTTCAGCAGTATTATTTTGTGATTACTTGTGCTATTTTATCTATTATATTTTTCATTTTTTAATATTTTCACTTGGGTCTTAAAAATACCTCTTATACCTGTTTTATATGGCTAATATTCTCTTTCTGTGTGTTTATATATTTTTAGTCTCTCTGTTTTAATGATTCTACAACTAAAACATGTTTTTTAGTTTCTTATTTTTATATTTATTTGTTTATTTGAGATGGAGTCTTGCTGCATCCCCTAGGCTGGAGTGCAGTGGTGCAATCTCAGCTTGCTGCAACTTCCGCCTCCTAGTTTAAGCGATTCTCCTGCCTCAGCCTCCCGAGTAGCTGGGACTACAGGTGCCCACCACCACGCTTGGATAATTTTTTGTATTTTTAATAGAGACAGGGTTTCACCATGTTGGCCAGGCTGGTCTCGAACTCCTGGCCTCAGGTGATCCACCTGCCTCTGGCTCCCAGAGTACTGGGATTACAGGTGTGAGCCAATGCGCCTGGCCTATTTTTATTTTTTAATGGTTGTTTTTTTCAGTTGTCAAGTAGTTTTGGCCTGTGAGCTCATATACCCTTGGGGTGTCACCTACTTTATCTGATAATCTATTATTAGGAAATGATCAAAAGCCAGTTCCCAGCCTGTGTTCCTCCTGGAAGTTTAGGGAAAGTATGTGGGTGTGTTTGTTTTTGAAGTGCTAGATATTTCCTGTGGTCTGAATGCTTGGGTCATCCCCAAATTCGCATGTTGAAATTGGACCCCAGTTCAACGTATGGTAGAATTAGGAGGTGGGCCCTTTAGGAGATGATTAGGTCATGAGTAAAGCACCTTCATAAATGGACCTAGTGCCCTTACAAAAGAGGTCTGAAAAAGCTCCCTTGCTCCTTCCATCATGTGAGGACACAGAGAGAAGGCACCATTTATTTGGCGTCTGGGCTTTCATCAGACACCAACTCTGCTGGTGCCTTGTCGTTGGACTTTCCTGTCTCCAGAACTGTGAGAAATAAATGTTTCTTGTTTATAAGCTATGCAATTTATAGTGTTTTGTTATAGCAGCCTCAACAGACTAAGACATTAGTGCTGCTGTAACAAAGTACCACAAACTGGGTGGCTTAGAACAACAGAAATTTATTATTTCATAATTCTGGAGGCCAGAAAACTGAAATCAAGGTTTCAGCAAAACCATGTTCCCTGCTGAAGGCTCTAGGGAAGAATCTCATTGGTTTTTACAAGCTTCTGGTGGATGTTGGCAATCTTTGATATTCCTTAGCTTAGAGGTGCATCACTTTAATTTCTGCCTGTCGCTATACGGTCTTCTTGTAGTGACACCAGTCACTGGATTTAGGACCCATCTTAACTTTATCATAGCTGCAAAGGCCCTATTTTCAAGTAAGGTCACATTCAAAGTGCTGGGGGCTTAGGACTTGAACATATTTTTCTCAGGGACATAGTTCAACACATAACAGTGGGACAAGCTGAAGTACAGAGAGCTTCAGGTAACAGAGTACCAGTGTTACATTACTTTATCTTAATTTTGCCACTGTACTTGACAATTTCCATGGTTAGGCTTATACTTTTAAACTATTTGGGAGGTGGCATTGTCCTGAGTCTTAGGCAGCTTTGAGGGGAGAGAAAAATAGAGGAATAAAAGCCCAGGACCTATCTAGTTTATACTTTCTTAGCATAGCTTTGATGCTGCCTTAATATTACCCTAATGATACCTTGGGCCAAGACTACTGCTCCTGTGGGAATAAAGATGTATATTAAGGACATATATTAGCTCAAATATGGGAGAAAGGTAGGAAGAAAATGTAATTTTTTTTTTCCTGAGTGGATTCTCTCATTGTTGTTTCTGGCTTCTTCAGTCCCTATATTCGTATCCTAAATGCCCCATAAACAAATTAGCCTTCGTTTAGGGGTTTCTTACAGTTTAAATTTTTTTTGTTCTTGTTGTTTTTTGTTGTTAGGAATATTTTCCTTTCTATTTTTCATTTTTTCAAAGTTGATTTTAGGATTCACCATCTTCATGGCAATTGATAATCCTTTTATCATTTTAAATCTGAAATGTTTTCATCTACAACCCTCCTTACTTACAGGAAATGCTATAAGTCCTATAGGTAAAATAACCCAACATTTTCCATATGGAGAGCAAAGGGTATAGAAAAGAAGCAAGATTTGTAGCCAATTTGACCTATGTTGTAATTCTGAAAAATTTAGCACTTATTAGCTGTGTGACTCTTGGTTAGTCACTTAACTTGTCTGAGCTCAGTTTACTCTCATGTAAAATGGAATAATGCTGTACATAAAGGGCATACCTTAGATTAAAAATGATAGAGCTTTTACTGTTATTGTTATTATACTTAGGTTTAAATAACTTCTTGATATACGTTAGATATTGTGATAACTGCATTCTATTTTTCTTTGTTTTGTTTGAGTAACTGTGACTCAAAAAAGCCTGAAGTGTAATTGTAGCTTCCAGAAGTTGCTTAATGTACTCTGAGCAAATTGCTAAAGCATCAGAGAAAGAGAAATGTAGTATGTGAATTTAATTAGAGCCTGGTGTTTTCTCTGAATCTCTTTTAATTTTTTTTCACAGGGAGGAAAAAATTTTTTTCATCTATAATTTGGAAGCCAAGTCGTAACAAAATGAAACCAGTAAAGCATCTGTTGACCACCAGTAACAAATCGGCAACTCTTCCAGCATTAACCAGCAAAAAAGGACTACATAATTTACCACTATCACCTAAACTGAAGGAAAAACATAATGCAAAATTAATTCATGATAAAATTGAACCAATGGTCCTGAGATCTCCACCAACAGGAGAATCCATTGTACGGTATGCTTTGCCCATTCCATCGAGTAAGACAAAGAACTTACTACCAGGAGATGAAATGATTGGAAAAATTATCAAACATCTGAAGATGGTAAGAGGCTTGTTAGTTTCTGTGTTACAGGGACTCCATGATCACCCCAGGTTTGGTGATATTCTAGGAGAATTCACATGACTCCACATATAGTCATACTGATGGTTAAGATTTATTACAGTAGGCACATGAGGTGAAATTAGGAGAAAACCAGATCTAAGCTTGCAAGAGTCTTTTCCCCTTAGAGTCACCCAGGACATGCTTAATTTCTTTAGCAATGAATTGTGACAACACATATGAAATGTCTGTCGGGGAAAATCATTAGAAACTTAGTGCCCTGGGATTTATTGGGAGTTTACTATTCACTCTGTGCTTAACATATATGAAAATTTCAGACTCTCACAAGGAAAGGAGGTTCAGTATAAACCACATTATACAAACAGTTTAGGGACAGTGAGCTCCTGTCAGTGAATGGGGAGAACCCTCCTGATATCCAAGTTCTCAGATGCCAGGTTAAGGCCAACCTTGCAAGCAGGCCTTCCTAAGTCCTGCATTTCTACTGTGTTAAACTCCGCATTTCAGAAACTTTAGCTCTTTTTTTGTTTCTTGAAATGAAGTCTCGCTCTTTTGCCCAGGCTGGAGTGCCGTGGCATGATCTTGGCTCACTGCAACTTCTGCCTCCCGGGTTCAAGCAATTTTCCTGTCTCAGCCTCCCGAGTAGCTGGGACTACAGGAGCATGCCACCATGCCCGGCTAATTTTTGTATTTTTAGTAGAGATGGGGTTTCACCATACTGGTCAGGCTGGTCTCAAACTCTTGACCTCAGGTGATCCACTCGCCTCGGCTTCCCAAAGTGCTGGGATTACAGGGGTGAGCCACCGTGCCCAGCCGAAACTTTAGCTTTTGATGTGGGGAAAAATTTTACTTTTTCTGAGTTTCTTTTTTTTTCACCGCGATCCAGAATTGAATTGTAAATGTACCAAATATCAAGTGAGAATGATGAGGAAGAGCACAAATATAAAAAAAAGATACAGTACGTCAAACTTGTACAGTACAAGTTTGTTGAAAGTTTGAGGGGTTAGGCCAGATAATTTTCTTTAAAAATTCATTGCTTTCTGGTCTCCATCTTTCAATATTCCCTAACTCTCTTTGGAGGAGAAAATCAAGGCAGACTTTGAGGAAACCTCTACTTAATGCTTCAACCACTCATGGACAGGCCCTCTCCGTTTTAAGATACCTATCAACACAGAAATGTTAGAGTCACAGAGCATCTCTCTTTTGCTAGGGAGTAAGGTTAAGGAATATTGCTTTTTCCTCATGATGACATGAAATTGGGTATGGGATGGAAAATTTAAGTTTGTGGCACTGGAAGAAATAAGTCTTACTGGTAAAAAGGTCCTGGCATAATTGATTGACTATTATTTACATTTAATGTAGTTAATTTTAAACTATTAAAGTATCAAATTGGCTTTGATTTTTTTTTTTTTTTACAGGTTGTTTCCACTTTGGAAGAAACCTATGGACACTGTGATCAGAATGGAGAAGAACCATTTGTAAAGCGTGAAAATGAAGAATTATCTTTATCTGTAAGTATATGCAACCCTAATATAGAGACATTAACACTGAAAAGGGTCGATTTTCTTTTCAAAAATATAAATTTAAAATATTTTCTTTTGGATTACTTATATGTTCTCGGAATGAATTTCCTATCCATGAAAATGATCCTCTTAGAAAATTACTCAACCCAACCAAATCCCTCTTGACCTGAATTTTGCCAAGAAGGTTGCAGAAAAGGAGTTCTACATACCCATTAGGAATGACCAAAATTTTAAAGATAGACAATAATCAAGTTTTGGTAAAGATACGGGGCCACTGGAACTCTCATACAGAGCTGGTGGGAACACAAATGAGACTGCTATGTTGAGAAACAGTTTGACAGCTGCTCATGAAGTTTAACATATACTTAAAAGATAACCACCAGTTCTACTCTTAAGTGATTATCCAAGATTAATGAACACATACATCCTCACAAAGACTTGTATATAAATGTTTATAGAAATTTTGTTCATAATAGCCAGAATAGCTACTGAATCCAGCAACCCAAATATTTACTAACTGGTGAATGGACAAGCAAATTGTAGTATAGCATACAATGAAATACTCTTCACAATAAAGGAAACAAACTACTGACACATAGAACCATGTGGATGAATCTCAAAAACATTAGGATGTGGGGAAGCTAAATAAATAGGGCTGCATACCATATGATTCTATTTATATGAAATTCTGGGAAAGGGAAAACTGTAGTAAAGGACCAGTGGTTGTCTTGAGCTAAGGTAGGAGGGGAGAATTGACTGCAAAGGAGTACAGTGAAGCTTTTTGAAATAATGGAAATGTTTTATATTTTTATTGTGGTGGTCATTACCCAACTATTAAAAGGACTGTGTAATCACAATCCTTATCCTGCACGACCTTGTGGTTATTATGTTTTGAAGCCCTGCCAGGATTGAATCAAAGAACCAAAACTAAACTCTAAAATTGAAGTTCAAAAGAAACGGGAATGACTAGAGGTGGGAGGGAAGTGGGGTAAGGGTTGAAAAACTAGCTATTGGGTACTGTGCTCAGGACTTGGGTGATGGGATCATTGATACCCCAAACCTCAGCATCAAGCAATATATCCAGGTAACAAACCTTCTGATGTACCCACTAAATCTAAAATAAAAGTTGGAAAAAAAAAACCACCAACAAATAAAATAAAATGAAATTAAGTTCACATTCCTGTGGTCTCCAATACTGAAAAAATTGAAGAAATCAGCCCTTCGGATACCGCCTTTATTTTACTGAATTTCTTTCCTCCAATGATCTTGTATTTTATTTTACCTCAACCACTAATTGACAGAGTGATATCCTGTATTCCTTACCATAACTGTTTCAGAATTTGAATTTCAGTCGTCCTAATCTCTGGCCACTACCTCCTGTCTTTCCCACTCAGTCTGTCCAAAATTCTGACTCCAAAAATCCTTTGATTTCACAGGGAACCATAATCCATTGGTCCTGCTGCCTTTTTAGTGTCCCAAATCCTCCTTGTGCCCTTACTTACCCAGCTTAAATAGCATGGTCAACTACTGTTATCACTCCCTTTCATGCGTGCTTAACTCTCTTGCCCTGTTCTGCTTTATTGGTCTTATTTGTTAAATTATAAACTCAGTCAAATCAATCTCTATCTTCTCTATATTTCTCTATCTTCTCTATATTTGTGGTGCCTGAATGTGGGTGGAAGAAGTGGGCTAATGGTTTCCCTTTATATTTGTGATTAGTAACACTAATCTGTTCATTTTCCTCTCTGCTGGATTATTTTAGTTTTTTTCCCTGTCTCCTTTATGATTAAAGGTCTTTATTGTGTCAAAAAGTATGTGAGCCTCTCAGTATATTTATTTATTTATTTGTTTGTTTTATTTTATTTATTTTTATTTTTTTGAGACAGAGTCTTGCACTATGACCTAGGCTGGAGTGTGGTGGTATGATCTTGGCTCACTGCAACTGCTGCCTCCTGGATTCAAGCGTTTTTCGTGCCTCAGCCACCCACATAGCTGGGATTACTGGTGTGCGCCACCACGCCCAGCTAATTTTTTTGTATTTTTAGTAGAGACAGGATTTCGCCATGTTGGCCAGGCTGGTCTTGAACTCCTGACCTCAAGTGATCCACCTGCCTCAGCCTCCCAAAGGGCTAGGATTACAGGTGTGAGCCACCGCACCTGGCTCAGTATCTTTAAATGTAATGCTCAGGGAATGCATTCTTCATGGAGAACCACTCTATGAAAATTCTAACTGTATATAAGCCTGTAATATTTGTTTATCATGAGTCAATTCTCTGATTTACAAATCACTGCTTTATTAGAAGGGATTTGATCATTATGATATTTAAGCTGTAACTGTTTTTTTCCTCAAAGTTTTACATTGCCCATTAGGTGAGAGCAGAAGACTGCAGTTCGTGGCAAGTATACAGTTAGATGTCATAGGTAGTAGTCATAGGCTGGGATGCTGGATTTTCTGGAACTGTGTAGAGATGAATGAGAGGAGAGACATAGCTGGGTATATGTCACTGATGGGCCACTTCCCAGAATGTACTTTCTTCCATGTTTTCTCTCTGGGAGAGTTTGCAAGTATGACTTTTGAAGCATGGCTTCTTGCCGTAAATGTTTGAAGGGACGTAAATTAAGCAAAATTAAAATTTTTCAAAAAGTAAATATGCTAGAAAAAGACAGACATGCATATGGACTCTTAAATAAAAGTAACTTTATGTTTTATTATTCTTTTCAAAAGGTTGGGGGTGATATGAATTCATTCTTGACATGTTGTTCACAATTTGCAACTCAGCTAGAAGCAGCACTTAAAGAAGAACAAAATGTATGTATTCTGTGTATACGGCCAAGTATAAAATATCAGACTTGTACTGGTTGTTGAAAATTGAATCTGCTATACAGTCAGCCAACATTAACCTAGATTCAGTGTCTTAAGAAATTATAAATGGCATTGGAAAGCATTATTTATTTATTTTTTATTCTTTTTTTAAATCATCATCAAGGGTTTTTACTATGCCCAAATGCAAAGATTATGCCACTGAACCACCACAAATAAGACATGAACTTTAAATTAATTCTTCAATAGTTGTGTGAATCTTAATGAATCTGCCATATTCCCTCACTAAGAGCATGTAAGTAGTTACAAGGTAGTTAATAAATATTAAGGTTGTGGCAATCAGCCTCAAAGAGAGAATGATTGACCATTACAGAGAATGACCACATAAATCATGGTTTAGTACCATAACCCTTATCAGTTAGCTGTGAGTAAAAGGTAAGACTGCAGTGGAATTGTTGAAATTGTCTTTTTTTCTTAGAATACACTTAATTTATTGCTTTTCTTGGTAATAGTATTTAAATTGGCATGTAATAATTATACATATTTGTGGGGTACATAGTGATATTTTGATACATACAATGTGTAGTGGTCAAATTAGAGTAATTAGCATATTCATTATCTCAAACACTTATCATTTCTTTGTGATGGGAACATTCAAAATACTCTCTTCTAGCTATTTGAATACATATATATATAAAAAATAAACTGTTGTTAGCTGTGGTTACCCTATAGGGCTGTAGAACACTGTAACTTATTCCTCCTATCTAACTGTAGTTTTTTATCCTTTAACTAACCTCTCCCTATCCTCCCTCACCCCTACCCTTTCCAACCTCTAGTAATCATAATTCTACCCTCTGCTTCTGTGAGATCCGCTTGTTTTAGTATTTGCATATTGGTGAGAACATGAAATATTTATCTTTCTGTTCCTGACTTATTTCTCTTAATATAATATCCTATAGGCCCATCCATGTTGCTGTGAATGACAGGATTTATTTAATTCTTTTTTGGAATTAAGAGTGAAATCTTTTTTGGAACTAAAAGCGGCTGAATAGTAGTCCATTCTCCCTATATGCCACATTTTCTTTATTAATTTGTCTATTGATGGACATTTAGGTTGATTCTATATCTTGGCTATTGCAGTTTAGTGCTGCAATAAACATGGAAGTACAGATGTCTCTTCAGTGTACTGATTTCCTTTCCTGTGGATATACACTCAGTAGTGAAATTGCTGGATCATATGGTAGCTCTATTTGTAGTTTTTTGAGGAAACTCCATGCTATTTTTCATTATCGTTCTACTAGTTTACATTTCCACCAAAAGTGTATATGTTCCTTTTTCTCTGCATCCTTGTCAGTATTTATTTTTTGTCTTTTTGATAATAGCCATTCTAACTGAGGTGTGGTGGTATCTCATTGTGGTTTTAATTTACATTTCCCTGATGATTAGTGATGATGAGCATTTTTTTTCCTATACTTTTTAGCCATTTGTTTATCTTTCTTTTGAGAAATATCCAAGCCATTTACCTATTTTAAAATCAGATTTTTTTTTTTTTGCCATTGAGTTGTCTGAGTTCCTTGTATATTTTGAATATTTATCACTCGTTAGATGAATTTGTTTTACAAATATCTTTTCTCATTCTGAAGATTGTGTTTTCACTCTGTTTGTTTCCTTTGCTGTGCAGAAGGTTTTTAGTTTGATGTAATACCGCTTGTCTGTTTTTCCTTGTGTTGCCTATGCTTTTGAGGTCTTACCCATAAAATATTTTCTCAGACCAATGTCCTGAAGCATTTCCTCTGTTTCCTTCCAGTAGTTTCATAGTTTTGGGTTTTATATTTAAGTCTTTAAGCTGTTTTTGAGCTGATTTTTGCATATGGTGAGATATTGGATTCTAACTTCATTCTTCTGCCTATGGATATTCAGTTTTCCCAGCACCATTTATTGAAAAGACTGTCCTTTTCCCAATGTTCTTGGTGTTTTTGTTGAAAATTTGTTTGCTATAAATAAGTGGATTCATTTTTTGGGTTCTCTATTGGGTTCCATTGGTCTATGTGTCTGTTTTTGTGCCAGCACCACGCTGTTGTGGCTACTATAGCTTTGAAGAGTATGTTGTGTGTGTGTTTGCACGTGTGTGTGTGTGCTTTTTTTTTTTTTTTTTTTTTTTTTTAAAGAGACAAGGTCTCACTTTTTTGGCCAGGCTGGAGTGCAGTGGCACAATCATAGCTCACTGCAGCCTCGAACTCCTGGACTTGAGGGATCCTCTTGCCTCAGCTTCCCAAGCTGCTGGGATTACAGGCATGAACCACCATGCCTAGCTAACTTTGTAGTACATTTTGAAGTCAGATAGTGTGTTGCTCCCAGCTTTCTTCTTTTTGCTCAGGATTGCTTTGGCTACTTATGGTCTTTTGTGGTTCTACATGAATTTTTAGGATTTGTTTTCTATTTCTGTAAAGAATGTCATGGTATTAATAATTAATATTGTTAAAATGACGATACTACTGAAAGCTATCTGCAGATTCAGTGAAATCCCTGTCAAAATGCTACTGGGCATAAGCCCAGTATCAATATTAATTCTTCTAATTCATGAACATAGGATGTCTTTTGTTTTTTTGTGTGTGTCTTCTTTAATTTCTTTCATGAGTATTTTATAATTTTCATTGTAGAGACCTTTTACCTCCTTGGTTAAATTTATTTCTAGGTATCTTATATGTTATTTTGTAGCTATTATAAATGGGATTGGTCTCTTGATTTCTTTTTCAGTTAGTATATAAACATACTACTCATTTTTAGATGTTGATTTTGTATTTTGCAGCTTTACTGAATTTATTCATTAATTCTGAGAAGTTTCCGGTGGAGTCTTCTATATATATAATATGTATATGCTCATGTTGTCTGCAAACAGGGACACTTTTAAGGCCCTCCACTTAGTTGTTTTTCTTCCCTAGGAGAGTTCTGAGTTAGGTGAAACTAACTCAGTTTAGTGGGAACCTCTAGAGAGTTCAAAAGTGGGAACCTCTAGAGAGCTCAAAACACTCACACAGTTTCTTAGGAATATGTCTGCTATGCTGTCTCCAGAACCACTCAAAATGAGGGTTGCTGTTTTTAAGACTTCTACTGTGCTGGAGGAGAGGGTGGGGTAAGACTGAGTTAAAATACCACACAATTCTGCTGTGGTGTTCAAGCCACATTTTATTGATGTGGCTTTACTTAGTTGCTTTAAATATTTAACTGTTTTTCAGAGTTCTAACAAAATTGGAGCATAGGCCCTTGGACTTCCCTACTGTACTTTTTTTTTTTTTTTTTGCTGTTATCACTCTTCAAATACCCTAATAGTTTTTTCTTGATGCAAATTTACAATTGACTTTGAATTTTATATATATAGCATTTCAGTAGACCAAGAATAACCAAGTGAGACCTGAAGAAAATGAACACGGCGAAAGGACCTACCCTAACAGATATCAAGATTCATTATGCAGCTGTATCAATTATGATTATGTGCTTTTGGTGCAAGCCTGGATGAACTGATGAAATTGAACAAAGTCTCAGATATTGATCCTTCTGTATATGGAAAATTTTGTTGATGACAGAGCCAGCAGTATAATAAATGGCTTTGGAACAACTAGTTATTTATAAGGGAAAAAACTAATTTGATATATGATCAAATATGATACTGATATAAGTATATGACCTGGAGCAAGAAACAATCACAAAACAAATACAAATCATAAAAGGCAATATTGATAAATTCACCTATATTAAATTTATAGCCTCTATTATATAAAGAATTCATAAAGAGAGGGGCAAGAGAAATTTCAAATTGGGTCAAAATTTGGATCATGTATACCTGACGTATATGTGTATTTAATCACATAAAGGATTATCTAGATTATATAATGTCTACTTATCAGTAAGTAAAAGATTAAACAAATCATTACGAAATAAAAAGGCATTTCACAGTGGATCAGTTTTTATTTTTCACTCATTTTTATCAATAATGATCTAGATTTAGCAGTATCAGTAATTGATGCTGTGGGTTTCCTCAGTAATTGAGAAAGGCACTGTTCTCCTTAAACTAGGAGTGGTTTAAATTATTGTAGAACTGTGGCTACAATGAGTGGTTGAATTGATATATGCTAATGTTTCCCATCAGGTTCCAGTGCAGGCAGAGAAGTTTTGAGAACCTTGGAATCTCTTGACAGTGGAAAAAATTAGTTATTTCTAGGTATAATGTGCTTTAGTGGACATTATTTTCTAAACACTTACATAGCTGAAAATATTTTTCTTCTGACACAGACATTAATTTGCTTTGGTATATTTCCTGAAGGATATCAGCCATTTTTGCTTAGATTTATGCTTTCTTATTATTTAGCTTAGTGATTCTTAGACTTTAGCATGCAAAGCAATCACCTGCAGGTCTAGTTAAAACACAAATTGCTAGTCCTACTTCTAGATTTTCTGATTTACTAGGGTAGGGTGGGACCTGAGAATTTTCAATACTAAAAAGTATGCTTGTAGGTGGTGCTGATGCTGTTGCTATGGCACTTTACTTTTTGAACCACAGATCTAGAGTTAGTGTTGTGGAAGATAAATTTAATTTATCTAGTTTAATTTTTGTTCAATTTTATGTTACTCCCTGAATGCACATAGTAATATTTTACTTTAATAATGTAATTGAAAACTTTTACCCAATTTGATAGGGTGGGATTTTTGTTTTTGTAGCAAATGTAATCACTTTAACATTAGATATTTAAGTGGTAAATATTGATATTTTGAGCTGTTTATGGATGCTTCTCAACTTGTGAGGGAGTTACATACTGATAAACCCATCGTGAGTTGAATTTTTCGTATGGTGAAAGTGCATTTAATACACCTGACCTACCAAACATCATAACTTAGCCTACCCTACCTTAAATGTGCTGAGAACACTGGACATTAGCCTACAGTTGGGCAAAATCATCTAACACAAAACCTGTTTTATAAGGAAGTGTTAAATAGCTCATGAAATTTATTGAATACTGTACTATAAGTGAAAAACAGAATGGTTGAATGTGTTTGTGGATTTCAGTTTCTATTGGGTTTTGTATATTTATTCAGTTTCTCTTATAATTTCTCAAGCGAGTACTTTGTATTTTTCATTAAAAATATTAAATAGTATTATAATATTTTATATCTTGATTTTCTGGACCATTTAGCAGGAACAGAGTTGTATTGGGAAGATAGTGTTGGGAAGGTGATGCTTTTTGTTATTGTACTTGCTGCTGTATGAAAAGAAATATAATGCTCTTCTGAGAGGAATTTAAATTTTATTCCTTACCTATATACATAAATAAAATAAATAAAAAATATAAATATATACATACACACACACACACACACACACACACACACATATATATATTTTTTCTTTTGAGACAGAGTTTTGCTCTTGTTGCCCAGGCTGGAGTGCAATGGCATGATCTTGGCTCACTGCAACCTCCACCTACCGGGTTCAAGTGATTCTCCTGCTTCAGCCTCCCTAGTAGCTGGGATTATAGGCATGCACCACCACACCTGGCTAATTTTTGTATTTTTAGTAGAGACGGGGTTTCTCCATGTTGGTCAGGCTGGTCTCGAACTTCCAACTTCAGGTGATCCACCTGCCTTGGTCTCCCAAAGTGCTGGGATTACAGGCATGAGCCACCACACCCAGCCTCCTTACCTATATTAAGAAAATATACGAAATACATTTGGGAATTGTTTGGGGGCTTCCTGATATAGATGTATTAGGGCCAGGCATGATGGCTCATGCTCAGTGCTTTGGGAGGCTGAGATAGGAGGATCGTTTGTGGCCAGGAGTTTGAGACCAACCTGGGCAACATGACCAAACTCTGTCCCTATTAAAAACAAAATTAAAAATTAGCCAGGTATGGGGGTGTGCCCATGTAGTCCTAGCTACTCAGGAGGCTGAGGCAAGTGGATCACTTGAGCCTAGGAGTTCAACGTTATAGTGAGCTATGAGTGTGCTGCTGCACTCAAGCCTGGGTGACAGTGAGATTCTGCCTCTCTTTCCCTCTTTCTCCCTTTCTATATATAAAAAGAAAAATTATTTTTAAATTCTAGAATGAAGTTGTCTATGCAAGGTGAACTAAAAGCACTGTCTGTAAATAAAAAATTATAATTTTCAACTACAGATTTATAAAGTTATAATTTAATACTTAGTACATTTTTGTGATTGAAAATTGCAAAAGACTGAACTAAATATTATATCATACATGGTTAAGTGTTCTATTTTTAAACGTGTTAATTAAAACTTTATTTTTCAGATTTTGGAATCTCTTTTTAAGGTATGTTCAATGTATCACTTCTTAAGCCTACTAAAACTTAACACAGAAATACATGCCAATGAAGAAGAGGTTTCTAAATTTTAAGGGAGTAGAAGGAATTCCATACTTGCTGCTCTATATGTTTAAGAATTTTATGTTCATTTGTATAGTGCATTAGCCCCATTCTGAATCCCAAGTGATATTTCGGTCAGGCCTGATATTTGATGGATGAAGAGTCACAGACACAGACACACATTTATATAGATATTTATTTCATTGCTGCAATTTAAATAGTCACTATTTCTTTTTTTGTCCCTCTTTTGTTTTCTTAAAGTGGTTTCAGTGGCAAGTCAGTCAGATGGAAGAAGTAAGTCTAATGTTTTAAAATTGTTAATATTTTTTAACTCATTTGAAAACGAATTTGGATTATGTATAAGTTAAGCATGTATAAGTCATTTTTGGATAACTGTTGGTTATAAAGTAATCTTTTGATTTAGGTAGACAAGGAGTAAGTGGATGGGATAAAATATTTCTCAGTGACTTACACCCTATGTCCCTGCATATATCTGGTGTACTCCAAGTTTGACTGACACATGTTTTTTCCTAAAATTGAATAATGGAAACTAAGTTATTATTTTTTTACAATTTACATAAAAGGGTGATGAGAGAATCTTTCACTTTAAAACTTTCTACCATATTTAAAAAAATCATGCTAAGTGATGATGTATGTATAGACATAAAATTATGTATCGATTTTCTATAGATGAAATATGTTATTTTAATGATGTTCTTTTACACTTTTGATTCAGGTACTTTACCATTAGTTTGAGAACTACTGGTCTCAAACTAGGGGCTTAGGGGCTTTTAATTCTACTTTGGAAAATACTTTATATATGCTATTAGTATATTGGAATGATTTCCAGGATAGCTTTACTGATTTACAGAATTATTTTAGTTCTCATTTGGTCACACTTATGGTTCAGTCCAATTAAACACTCTTGAAGCCCAGGCTTTTCGAAGAAAAGAGGCCAGTTTCTTTGGGGGTGTAAAGTTAAAGGATAAATATAGATAGAACCTTAAATGCATGAACTGGGACTATATCCTAGCATGTTCTCATTGTTTTATCTCTGGTCCCAGAATAGAAGACTTTCATGGTCTACATACTCTTTGCTTTAGGATACATTTGATTGACATTGGAAAAGTGTTAGTCATTCTTTGATTATGGCATAGTGGTCATTATCCTTCCAGAGAGGTAGGGTTAGAGTGAAGTCTACTATTCCTCTACCCTCTTTTAAAAGGTGTTCTTCTTTGCAACTTTGGAAACTCATCTTGTCATTTTCTTTTCATCCATTAACCTCTTTTTATTATTTTATTAATGGGTTTACTTTTACTATTCTTTTACACTCAGTCCTGTCAATGTACATGACCTATCCAAAACGCTGGCCTCTTACTTTCTTGACTTCCTCATCTCCAAAGATCTCTTGGCTTCCACTTCCAGTCACACTGTGCACCTTGTCATTAACAAAATTACTTTATTTTAAAAATCACTAATATAGGCAACTTATTCTTGAACTATTAATTTCTGTTTTTCCAATTATTACTATAAATACTGCTCTGGCTGCCAAACACTTGGAATACTCTAAATGTAAGTCATTGGTTGGAACTCCTTCAATTCCTGCTACCTAACAAAATATTAACATCTGTACTCATTTTCTCTTTCATTTTTCCTGTTAAGACAGATATATTGTTCTTTCTTATATATATGACTAATTATTTCGCTTCTATTTTGGATTTCATATCCTCTTGTCTTCTCAAGATTCTGTGTTTGTTTGTTTGTGTTTTTGAGACAGGGTCTCATTCTGGTTGCCCTGGCTGGACTGCAGTGATTTGATCTCGGCTCACTGAAGGCTTGACCTCCTGGGCTCAGGTGATTCTCCAACCTCAGCCTCTCAAGTAGCTGGGACCACAGGTGTGAGCCACCATGCCTGGCTAATTGGTATTTTTTTTAAATAGAGATGGGGTTTCGCCATGTTGCCCAGGCTGGTCTTGAACTCCTGGACTCATGCAGTTCCCTCGCCTCTGCCTCCCAAAGTGCTGGGATTACAGGTGCGAGCCACTGTGCCCTGCCATGCCTTCTCAAGAACTTTGATTAATTAATTATTCTCTCTTGTATATTCAATTTCTCTCATTCAATTTTATCCTTCCTTTCAATTTTTAAATATGCTCTTTTATCTCTCATTTGATCCAGATTCCTCTCTAAAGGCCTATTTCCATGTCCTCTATTAGCCTGTTTTAAAAAAATTATTTTGTATGCAAATTTACTCATATTAGGGAAACAGTCATTAGATTATTACCAGGGTGTAAAGGCAAAGCAGATTTATAAGCGAGTGGAGAGAAAAACAGAGTAGACAGTCTTTGAACAATGAAACTAGTTGGGTCTTTTTTTTTTTTTTTTTTTAAGTATTCAATGAATAAACTGGCACCTAGTGAAGAGATTAATCTGGGCACTCTTTCCTTGTAAGAGACAACTAAGGGTATTAAGTAAAACAATTAGAGTTGTTTATGGATTTCCTGTAATAACCCTTAAGAGTTTAGCCATGGAGCATGTGTCACACATTCAGAGCCACATTTATTTGTATATTAATTTACTATACACTATGCTCTTATTTCCCAAGCATTTCTCAATCTATCCAGACTGAATTCTGTCTCTCTGACAAGTAAAACATTCTCTCCATATGGTTCCCAGTAAATTGTATGTTGTTAAATTAAACAGACATTTTTTTTTTTTGCCTCAGCTATAATTAATATTATTGATTATGCCCTCATTTTTGAAACACTATTCCTTTGGCTTCTGTGAATTACATTTTCCTGGCTATTGTTTTACCTCTTTGGCTATCTTCTTTTTAAAGTCCCCTCCTTAACCCAACCAGTAAATGTTGGAGTACCTCAAAGTTTTATCCTATGCCTTTTTTCTTTTTGCTCCAAACTTTCTCCCTAGGCAGTCTCATCCAGTTTTTCCATTCAAGTATTACCTTTATGCATGTAATTTAGAAACATATACCTTTTGCTCAAAATGTTTCCCTGAACTCCAGGGTTTGTATATAATTGCTTACTTGACTATTCCACCTCAGATGCAGTGGGTCAGAAATATGAATTTTTTCCTCCTAAACTCTTCTAATGTTCCCTATCTTAGTGAATGAGTACTATTTATCAGATTGGGTAAATGTGAAATGTGGAAACCATTCCTGACAACTCACTTCCATCTATTCCTGATATTTAATCTATCCACAAGTCCTCTGGGTTTTACTTTCTAAATAACTGTCAGATGTGTCCACTTTTCTCTGTGTCTACACCTTATTGTTAGTTACTATCATATCCATTATGCCTGAAATCCCAACCGGTGCATTCATAATCATCAAGAGGAACCCCCACTACACAGTATACTTCTGATCTGGAATTTCAAGTTTTTCAATGTTTAAACCCATCATTGCTTATCTTAAATATTTTATTAATTTGGTATACCAGATACATTATCTAAAGGTTTGTATTATCTGCTGTTTTTCAAGAAGTGTTTCTCTTTTTTTTTTTTTTTGTAAATTTTAAGTTCAGGGGTACATGTACAGGTTTGTTATTTATGTAAACTCATGTCACAGGTATTTGTTGTACAGATTATTTCATCACCCACATATTAAGCCCAATACCCAATAGTTATCTTTTCTGCTCCTCTCCTTCCACCCTCATGTAGACCCCAGTGTCTATTGTTCCCTTCTTTGTGTTCATGAGTTCTCATCATTTAGCTCCCACTTGCAAGTGAGAATATGCAGTATTCGGTTTTATGTTCCTGTGCTAGTTTGATAAGGATAATGGCCTCCAGTTCCATCCATGTTCCTGCAAAATACATGATCTCATGCGTTTATATGGCTGCATAGTATTCCATGGTATATATATACCACATTTTCTTCATCCAGTCAACCACTGATGGACATTTAGGTCGATTCCATGTCTTTGCTACTGTGAATAGTGATGCAGTGAACATACACATGCACGTGTCTTTATGACAGGATGATTTATTTTCCCTTCGGTGTATACCTAGTAATGGCATTGCTGGGTCAAATGGTAGTTCTGTTTTTAGATATTTGAGGAATCACCATACTGTTTTCCACAACAGGGAACTAATTTATACTCCCACCAACAGTGTATAAGCAATTTTTTCTCCACAACCTTGCCAGCACCTTTTATTATTATTTTTTTTTACTTTTTAATAATAGTAATTCTGACTGGTATGAGATGGTATCTCATTGTGGTTTGATTTGCATTTCTCTAATGATCAGTGATGTTGAGCTTTTTTTCATATGATTGTTGGCCCCATGTATGTCTTCTTTTGAAAAGTATCTATTCATGTCCTGTGTCCACCTTTTTTTTTTTTTTTTTTTTTCTTTTTTTTGAGACAGAGTCTTGCTCTGTCGCCAGGCTGGAGTGCAGTGGCACGATCTCGGCTCACTGCTACCTCTGCCTCCTCGGTTCAAGCAGTTCTCCTGCCTCAGCTTCCCGAGTTCAAGCAGTTCTCCTGCCTCAGCCCCCCAAGTAGCTGGGACTACAGGTGTATGCCACCATGCCCGGCTAATTTTTTTTTTTTGTATTTTAGTAGAGACAGGGTTTCGCCATGTTGCCCAGGCTGGTCTCAAACTCCTGAGCTCAGGAATCTGCCTGCCTCAGCCTCCCAAAGTGCTAGGATTACAGGCATGAACCACTGCGCCTGGCCTTGTCCACTTTTTAATGGTGTTGTTTGTTTGCGTCTTATAAATTTGCTTAAGTTTCTTATAGATGTTGGATATTAGGCCTTTGTCAGATGAATAGTTTGCAAATGTTTTCTCCCAATTTCTAGGTTGCCTGTTTACTCTGTTGATAGTTTCTTTTGCTGCACAGAAGCTCTTAAGTTTAATTAGATCCTATTTGTTAATTTTTTGCTTTTGTTGCAATTGCTTTGGCGTCTTCATGGAGTCTTTGCCCATTCCTGTGTCCAGAATCGTATTGCCTAGGTTGTCTTCCAGAATTTTTATAGTTTTGGGTTTTACATTTAAGTCTTTTATTCATCTTGAGTTAATTTTTGTATATGGTGTAAGCAGTGAGTCCAGTTTAAATCTTCTGCACATGGTTAACGAGTTATCCCAGCCTCATTTATTGAATAGGGAATCCTTTTTTCATTGTTTGCTTTTGTCAGGTTTGTCAAAGATCAGATAATTGTAGGTGTGCAGCCTTATTTCTGGCTTCTCTATTCTGTTCCATTGCTCTATGTGTCTGTTTTTGTGCCAGTACCATGCTGTTTTGGTTACTGTAACCCTATAGTATAGTTTGAAGTTGGGTAGTGTGATGCCTCCAGATTTATTCCTTTTGCTTTGGATTGCCTTGGCTCTGTGGGCTGTTTTTGGTTCCATATGAACTTTAAAATAGATTTTTTCTAGTTCTGTGAAGAATTTCGTTGTTAGTTGGTAGGAATATCATTGGATCTATAAATTTACTTTGGGCAGTATGGCCATTTTAATAATTTGATTCTTTCTATCCACGCACATGGACTGTTTTTCCATTTGTTGGTATCATTTCTGATTTCTTTGAGCAGTGTTTTGTAGTTCTCCTTGTAGAGATTGCTCACCTCCCTGGTTAGCTGTGTTCCTAGGTATTCTTTTTGTGGCAATTGTGAACGGGATTGGCTCTTGATTTGGCTCTTGGCTTGACTGTTGTTGATGTATAGGAATGCTGGTGATTTTCGTACATTGACTTTGTATCTTGAGACTTTGCTGAGGCTGTTTATCAGCTGAGGGAGGTTTTGGGCCAAGACTTTGGGGTTTTCTAGATATAGGATTATGTTGTCTCTAAGCAGGGATAGTTTGACTTCCACTCTTGGATGCACTTTATTTCTTTTTCTTGTCTGATTGCTCTGACCAGGACTTCCAATACTGTGTTGAATAGCAGTGGTGGGAGAGGGCTCCTCAAGGAATCTTTCTTAAAGTGTAGTTGATAGAACATGTTTAAATGTCACCCAAGATACCTGTTATAAGTGCACGTTACTGGATTAGATTTCTTTTGTGTGTCTGTGAGTTAGGAATCTACTGCTTCAAGAGGTAGGAAACAAGGGATTCTCATGCACATTAACATTTGAGAATCTTGTGATAATCTTTTTACTGCTGACAAAATTTATTGTCAGTACATGCTGGCGAGGTTAATGTCAGTGATCATGTTGCATTACATGTTGCATTAACAGAGATGCATGTGGAAACCATTAGAGTATATGGTGAGCTGCACCAGAGAAATGTAGGCTGAGCCTGCAGTAGCCTGTACTTTTCAGAGTTGTCCTGCTGGAATCTGTGCCCCAAGGTCTTTCTGAAGAAACCATTTAGCTGATAACCCACTGTCTATATTCCATACTCTTTTAGTTCTGTGACTTCATCTTTTTTCCCAGAAAGGACTTCTGTTAAAATTTAATGTCTATTGGGAAATGTAATGTATCAAGAGTCTAATCAAGGGACAAAAACCACACAGTAATTTGGTTAGGGAAAGTTTGATATAAAGAATTATTGTAACAGAGGAATATCTACTGAAGGATATTGATAGACATTCTACTAAAGGAGTAAAGATAATTCTAATGAATACAGGAGTAGAAGATAGAGGGAACAACTTCAACTCCTAGGGTGGAATCAGAATATGAATATCCCCAATCATTCCCTCCCAGCAATGCAGGGCTAAGGTGCAGAACTTCTGAAGAGGGAGCAGCTTTCATCACTACATGGCAGAGAAGTTTGCTGGGCTGCGAGGCTGGTGGAGCTTGAACTCACTGGGAAGCTGTCCATGAGGGTGGTACACTTACGAATCTGCCCTCTGTGATGCTAGGAAAGCCACCTTCCAGAGAGGTGCTGTACTTCCTGCTGGGAAGCTGTTCACAAGGGTGATATGTTGGAAAACTTCCCTAAGGGAGGCTCTGCACTGGTGAATTTTGCTACAAAGTTCTGGGGGAAGCTGCCCATAGGAATCTGCCATGCCAGGGACCCTACCAGGAAGTCATCCATGAGCTGATGCTGTTGAAATTTTCTGGGGGTGAGTACTATAAAATATACTACACACTGCCTGAGGAAGAAGCAGAGAGAGACACGGAACTAGGAAGAGAAGCTTCTTCCTCTTCCAATGCCTCTTCAGGACACTCTGCTGAAAAAGGTTAACATCAGACCACCGGTCAAGGAAGAAATGTTCCACTATCTCAGACAACACAATGAAGAATAGATTGTTGAGGTGAGACACAGTAAACTGATGACATTATTTTTGACTCAATTTATGATTTGTGGCTTCTTATTTGAGATCTTTCCTTTTTCTATAAAGTTTCCATAGGTCTCCTGCTTCCCTTCCATCTATTCTGTGTTCCTTGTCATATCTTCCCTACACCCAAGCTCAGACTTCTAGTGTGTTGCCCAGCATTTACTTCCTGCTGTTACATCCTACTCTCATTCCACTCATTACAAAAATGAAGTCTCTGTTCTAAATCCCCAATGCTGGAATTTATCTTTGCTAAGTCCTTGACTTCATTTTTTCTCCAACTTTTCCTCCTAGCATAAGGATTGGAGATCTCTACATGGGTGGATCTCTGAATTTAGGGCAAGCAATTATTTTAGCATTACTCTTGTAAATATTCTGTGTCATTTTCCTATCAAAACTTTCTGACCCCAATTGCTGTTCTGCTTGTTTATGTCTCCACACATTGGCTGTTTGTAGGTTTCTTTTGCTGTGGTTTCTGGACACTCATTCTTGCTGAATTTTCTTTAAGTAAACTTATTTCCTAGAATAGTAATTATGGTCATCTTATTCTGTGAATTTTGCTATTTCTTCTCACTGCCTGTTATTTTTTAGCTTGGTCTATTCTAAAGGTCTCAAGACACCCAACTATGTTTCAGTCTTCCCCACGCAGACTGTAAAAATGCTAGTTCCATAGACATTTATATTTTAACTTCTGGGAGTTAGTAAGAGACAGTATTAGCCTTTGAGAAAAAATTATTATCTTTAGGTAATTTACCACAGTAAGGGTATTCTTAAAAAGAATTTATGAGAAACAATTTAGAATTACTCTTGTAAATATTTTGAGTTGCATTTATTGTTATTGGACTTGCTTAAAATTCCTATATATTAACATTAAACAGATTATTAGATTTCAGGTTTTACATGTAAAAACCATCACTGAGCTGTAATTCTGTTCATAGATAATTGCTCATATAAATATATTTGTAAAATATTATATCATTACTTGGCTATAGCTATAGATAAGAATAATATAAAAATTACTTTGATTTAATAAAGGAAATAATGAAATTTATTTGAGGTATGGGAACAAAATGGGTATTTACTAAGTAACTGGTTAATTTTGTTATTTTAGATAAGTACAGATCAAACTCTTTTACAAGCAGAGCCTCCAGAACCTGACAAAACAGTCACTTTAAGTATTGCACAAATAGTACACCTTTTACAAAGATTTGAAGAACTGAAGAATCGCCTTAAACAGAGGTCTAAATCCTCCTGGAAAGTCATGTTGTCTAAAACCATGTAAGTGAAATATCAGAACTAATTGAATCAAAAACAATAAGAAATGGTATATAATTAGCACTGAATGTAAGATAATGAGTCAGATATGATGGCTGTACACAGGGCTTCTTAGTCAAATCAGGTCTAGTCAACTTGTTTCTATTTGCAATTTTTAATAATCTGAGATGTGCAATACAGGAGACATTAGTTGCATATGGCTATGCAAATTCAATGTAGAAAATCAGTTTCTTAGTCACACTAGCCACATTTCAGGTGCTTAGTACCCACATGTGGCTGTTATTAGAAAGTTATATTGGACATTGCTAGCTTTGAAATATCCGGCTCATAAATTCTTTTCTCAGTTTGATTAGGTAACTCCTAGTAATAAATAGGAAACTAAGATCTAATGAAATACTTCATTGTTGATGAACAAGTTCATTAAAAATTATATCAACAGCTTATCCAAGTAAAAGTTTTACATTTATAAGCAACCATGCTTTTGCATTAAACAGACAAAACATTATTTTTTAGTGTTAAAATAGAATATACGTACCCACAGTTGGGAGGGACCACTAGTTACACAGTTACGTTAGTGATATCTCTGTCAATAACTGAAAATAATGAAGAGAGTGGTACTTGAGTTGGCTCCTGGGGGTTGCATAACTAGATCCTTGGCTCAGAGGTTAAGGTTTAGACCATATTCATACTTGACATTTAAGTGTGTGCTGTGTACTAGGGATTTTTGTAGTAACTTTACATGTATAATCTTTGATTTTCATAACTACTTTATGAGAAAGGTACTATTATACCCCAATTTTAATGAGAATAAACTGAAGCCAATAGAGGTTAAGTAATGTACCTGGCTGAGTTCATGTAATAAGTAAGTGGATGAAACAGGTTTTGACCCAAAGGTCAGCTAGTCTCACTCCAGAACTTATGTCCTTCATCATTATACGACTGATAATAATATTTGACAAAAAGATACCTCATGTTTCTAACAATTTATTTTTGCTATTTTTGTTGTTAATGTTTTTGGTATACTTAACTATATTCATGGCCTACATGGAATTCATATAATTACATAGTTTAGTTTGACTTTTCAACTTGTAACTTGTAAGTTTACCTTAGTGTCTGTGAATAAAGATTAAAGATATGTTTAATTTTTATTTTACAAACTTCATATGTCTAGACTACACATTTTAGTTCTTATTTTAGTGTAATTTAAACTCTTACTCTTTGATATATTAAAAAATGTTTCATTTATTGAACGTGAACAGGGATGAAGAAAATCGACCAGAAGCAGTGAAAAGTTGTGAAGCTGTAGCACAGAAAATTGAAGGTGATAATATTTTATACATGTTTGTCCTTAAAATTTTTATTAAAAATTTTGTTATTATTTTTATCTTTTAAAGAGAGAGTCTCACTCTGTCACCCATGCTGGAGTGTAGTAGCATGAATATTGCTCACTGCAGCCTCAAACTCTTGGGCTCAGGCGATCCTTTCTGCTCAGCCTTTTGAGGTAGCTAGGACCACAGGCACAAGCCACTGAGGCCAGCTGATTTTTTTTTGTACACATGTAGGTCTCACTATGTTGCCCAGACTGGTCTTTAACTTCTGGCCTCAAGAGATCCTCCCACCTCGGGCTCCCAAAATGTTGGGATTACAGGCATGAGCCATTATGCCCAGCATGTTTGACTTTTATGGGGTTTCCTAAGTGTATTAACATTTTGAAACTTAAAGTAAAAAAATTTACAGTTATAAAATTATACAATGGTAAATTTAGATAATATTTAATAGTGAGTTTGATATTTTAATAAAAGTTTTTATTATATTCCAGATTCTGGGAACATACAAAATGAATACAATGTGTATCCCCTGTGCAGACAACAATGTGGTTGTTACTTCCATAAAACTTACAGCTTAGTAAGGATACAAGTACATTGTCTAGCATGTTAGTACAGTGTTATGCATGATAAAGGCATGTGGAATTTGCATTGGGTCCACAGAAAGGAGCAATCTGTTCAACCTAAGGAGTTAGGAAGACTTTATGCAACTTTAAAGGGTGAATAGGATTTAGTAAAGTAAAGAAGGGAAATATTTGATATTTTAAGAAGACAATAGCATGAACAAACAACATACATAGAGAATTACAACTGGATTGGTATTAGAGTAAGAAGCGATATATAGGGATGAAGTAACAGAGGGCCAGCCATAGTGGGAATGGATGTTCTGCTAAGGAGCTTAGACTTTTTAAAAAAATAATAAAGAATCATTGAAGATTTTTTGTAGGATTTAATTTTAGAGAAGTTTTTTCCTGACTGCACTGTAGAAGCTAGATTTGGGGACTAGGAGTAGGAAAGGGAAGTTATTATATCTTAGATGTGTGATAAATACCTATATTCAAAGACTAGTGAAAAGAAGAAGGGAGTCAGGTTTGAGAAATATTTACTTGAAAGTTGGTGACCGGATATGGAAGGAAGACTAGATAATGATGGTACAATCAACGAATATAAGTGAATACAAGAGCAAAAACAAGTTTTGGTGAGAAAGTGGTTTATAATCAGCTGTTACACACACTCTTTTAAATGTTACCATTTGTTGCCTGATTGGGAAGATCTGCAGTGTTGGCAGCTATTATTTTTTCAAAGTTTTCTTTCTTTTAATAAGTTCCTAAAATTAAAACAATAAAATTTAAGCTCAATTAGTATATATAATTGCCATTTGAAATTTATAGTGACAAATATACTTTTAATTATTTCAGAATTCATAGAAATCCTCTCAACTGATGAATTTAAAAGTGTTTCTGCAAAAGAACCACGTAAGTTTCCATTCATTAAAGCATTATTGTGATAATAACTTCTGTTACATTAATTTCTATAATTTAAAGTAATAATTATTAGGTTAACAGTGCAGACTCCCTGCCTTGGAGTTTGGAGCCATACAGTTGAGCTGGTTGTCAAGCAACTATTAAAATTCTTAGTTAAGGATATGTGTTATTGAAACTAGTTTTTTTTTTTTGAGACAGTCTTGCTCTGTTGCCCAGGCTGGAGTGCAGTGGCATGATCTCAGCTCACTGCAACCTCTGCCTCCTGGGTTCAAGTGATTCTCGTCTCTCAGCCTCCCGAGTAGCTGGGATTACAGGCATGCACCACCACACCCAGCTAACTTTTATAACTTTTGTGTCTATCTATCTATCTATCTATCTATCTATCTATCTATCTATCTATCTATCTATCTATCTATTTATTTAGTAGAGAGAGTTTCACTATGTTGGCCAGGTTAGTCTTGAACTCCTGACCTCAGGTAATCTGCCTGCCTCAGCCTCCCAAAGTGTTGGGATTACAGACGTGAGCCATTGCGCCCGGCCTAGATTAATTTTTGAGGAGTGCATGTTAGTACATGGAATGGAGGATTCTGAGTTGTGATTAGAACATAATACTGAAACGTTGGCAGGCCTTTGAGGTGTAGCAGTGATAAATTTAAGTAGTTTGTAGATTTTATTACTAGGAATTATATCCACAAATGCTTTCACTGCAGGTGAGTAGTTGTCAGTTCAGGAATATAAAGAGCTGCTAGAGCTTGTCTGTTAAGTTTATGACTACTTGTCAATAGAAGGGAGAAATTAACTTACTCATGTCTTAGGGCTGGAGAGAATTTTGAAATAATAGTGTAAAGCACACTGTGGAATACAGTTCAAAAGTAGAAAATAATGTTTGCTTGGAACAGGTTGCTGGGAATTCTGCCCTCTTTCAACTTCAGCTTTAAAACCAAACCTTGCCATGTTTAAACCAAGGACAGCTGCACATCTTACAGCACTCCCAAGTTCTATAGAGATTTCTGATCAAAGAGAGGTCTGACTGACTAGGTGGGGTAGAAAGGTGTATAGAACTTTGGACTAGGTAGTGAAAACCTCTGTATACATCAAGGGGAATCCCTTGTACATCTATGAACCTCTCAAGAGCTCTCTCTTTTTCTCTCTCTCAGTCTGTATGGTTGCCTTCCTTCTAATATTGTACCTTGGCTTCCACAAACACTGAACTTTGTTTCCTAAACTCAAGGCAACCAGTATGCTCTGAGTTCCGCTTCCCTATAGTGTGGACTGGCAATTCCAGACAGCAAATTGGGGTCATCACAGGGCCTTTCCACTTTATTACCATATATTCTGCTTTCACTGTTTTCCAATTTCTGAATACCACTGTTTCATGTATTTTTGTCCAGTATTTAAGTGGTTTAAGGTAGAAGAGTAATTCTGGTCCCTGATGCTCCATCATGGATGAAAGCAGAAATCCCTGTACTCACTCATAGTTTAATGGAATACATCTTCCAATCAGAAAACCACATTTCAAAAGGATAAAATATGGTTGAGATTTTACTCATGGTTCTAAAGGGGAGCAGAGGACAGAATTATATTGTGTAATATGGAAAAAATGCTTTGCAAATTCATAAGATCTTTTTCCAATGGCGGTTGTTTCAGTTTCTTAGTTCTATTAGTATAGACTTAGTCTCTTTATTGCTGCGTTTTACTTGTTCACTATCATTTTCTTTTAAAAGTACCTCCTCTCTTCTTCTCTGGCCACACTTAATTCTCTCTTCCCTTCCTGTTTCCTAAATTCTATTAAATCTTGTAGCCTGGCTGGCAAGACGGAAGCTACCTTTGTATTGCACTCTGGTTTTGCTTTTAGGTCACAATTTCATCTTGATGTTGCTTCATTTAATAGACTATTTTTTAGAGAAGTTTTAGGATCACAGAAAAATTGAACAGAAATTATAGAGAGTTCCCATTAGTGCACTCCCCCCGCACCCCGCTTCCTGCATAAAGCTTCCCCTATTATTAACATTTTGCGTTAATGTGATGCATTTGTTATGGTTGATGAACCAATTTTGATACATTATTATTAACTACAGTCCATAGCATACATCTGGTTTGCTTTTTGCCTTGTACAGCTCAGTGGGTTTTGACAAATGTATCATGTCATGTATCCACCATTACAGTGTCACACAGAATAGTTTAATTGCCCTAAAAATCCCCTGTGTCCCACCTATTCACCTCTTCCTCCATCCACCTGAATCCCTGGAAACCACTTATCTGTTTATTTACTGTTTCGATAGTACTTCCTTTTCAAGAATGTTGTATATTTGATATTAGTCTTTCTTTTACCTAATAATGTACAGTTAAAGTTCCTCCATGTCTTTCAATAGTTTGACAGTTTATTTCTTTTTATTGCTGATAAATAATAAATTTATGGATTTACTACAATTTATCCATTTACCTGTGAAAGGGCATCTTGGTTGTTTCCATGTTTCGGCAATTATAAATAAAGCTGCTATTAACGCTTTTGTGCACGTTTTTGTGTGGATGTAAGTTTTCAGCTCAATTGGGTAAACACAAAGTAGCATGACTGCTAAGTCATACAGTAAGAGTTGTTTAGCATTATAAGAAACTGCCAAATGAGCATGCAGAGGGGCTGTACCATTGTACATTCCCCCCTACAATTGAGGAGAATTCTTGTTGCTCCACATCTTTGTCAGCATTTAGAATTGACAGTGTTTGTGCTTTTAACCATTCTAATAGTTTTGTAGTGATATTTCATTGTTTTCATTTGCAATTCCATGATTATGCATGATGTTGAGCATCTTTTCATATGCTTATTTGCCATCTGTTTCATTTCTTTGGTGAGGTGCTCAGATCTTTTACCTATTTTAAAAATTGGGTTGTTTGTTTTCTTATTGTTGAGTTTTAAAAGTTCTTTTTATATTTTGGATACAAGCCTTGTATCAGATATGTGTTTGGCAAAGATATTCTCTCAGTCTGTGGCTCATCTTTTCATTCTTTTAGCAGTGTCTTTTGCAGAGCCAGAATAAAGTCAAACTTACCATTTTTTAAAATTTCATGATTGTGCTTTAGGTGTTATATGTAAAAATTCATCTTCAAACTCAAAGTTACCTAGATCGTCTCTTCTATGTCTTGTAAAAGTTTTATAGTTTTGCATTTTATGTTTATAATTATGATCCATTTTGAGTTAATTTTTTTTTTTTTTTTAGACGAAGTCTCACTCTGTCGCTGGAGTGCAATGGTGCCATCTCGGCTCACTGCAACCTCTGCCTCCCCATTCAAGCGATTCTTCTGCCTCAGCCTCCCTAGCAGCTGGGACCACAGGCATGCGCCACCATGCCCGGCAAACTTTTGTATTTTTAGTAGAGATGGAGTTTCACCATGTTGGTCAGGCTGGTCTCGAACTCCTGACCTTGTGATCTGCCTACCTCAGCCTCCCATAGTACTGGGATTACAGGCGTGAGCCACTGTGCCTGATCCATTTTGAGTTAATTTTTGTGAGAGGTGTAAAGTCTATGTCCAGATTCATTATTTATTATTATTTTTTTTTGCATTTGGATGTCCAGTTGTTTCAGCATCATTTGTTGAGAAGACTACTCTTTCTTCATGGAGTTGCCTTTGTTCCTTTGCCAAAGATCAGTTGTGTATATTTGTGAGTCTATTTCTGGGCTTTTTATTCTGTTTGCTTGTCTGTCTATTTTGGCAGTGCTACATGTCTTGATTACTTTAGCTTTTAGTAAGTATTGAAGTTGGGTAGCGTCAGTCCTCCAATTTGTTGTTCTTCAACATTGTGTTGATTTCTCTGGGTCTATTGCCTTTCCATATAAACTTTGGAAACAATTTGTTGGTATCCAAAAAATACCTTGCTGGAATTTTGATTGAGATTGCATTGAATCTATGGATTAAATCTATGGATTAAATGGACAAGAACTTGTATCTTAACAATATTGTATCTTTCATTCTATGAACATGAAATCTCTCTCCATTTATTTAGATCTTACTTGCTTTCTTTCATCAGAGTAATGAACTTTTCCTCATATAGATCTTGTACATATTTTCTTTTAGATTTACACTGAAGTGTTGAAATTTCAGTGCTACTATAAATTGTGTTAATATCTATAATTTAAAATTCAAATAGTTCGTTTCTGGTATATAGGAAAGCAATTGCAATTAACTTTTGTGTCCTATACATTTGCAATAATTGTTTATTACGGGATATTGGTGATTCTTTGGGATTTTCTATAGAGACAGTCACATTATCTGACAGACAGTGCTACTTCTTCCTTCTGATTTTCTTTTCTTACATTATTGCATTAGCTAGGACTTCCAGTATGATGTTAAATAGCATGGTGAAAATGGGCATGTTTACCTTCTTCCTGATCTTAGGGAGGAAGCATTTAGGATTTCACTATTAAGTATGATGTTAGCTGTAAACTTTTTGTAGATTTTCTTTATCAAACTGAGGAAGCTTACTTCTATTTTATTTATAATTTACAAAGAGTTTTTTAAAATTATGGATAGGTGTTAGATTTTGTCAAATACTTTTTCTGCATTTATTGATATGATCATATGATTTTTCTTCTTTAGCATGTAGATTACATTAATTGATTTTTGATTATTGGACCAGCCTTACATACCTGGAATAACCCATTTGGTTGTGTTGTGTAGTTCTTTCTATACATTTATGTATGTGATTTGCTAATGTTTTGTTGAGGATTTTCACACATGTATTCATGAAAGATATTCATCTATAGTTTTCTTTTCTTGTGATGTCTTTGTCCGGCTTTGGTATTGGAGTGATACTGGCCTCATAGAACGAGTCAGGAAATGTTCCCTATGTTTCTATTTTCTGGAAGAGATCATAAAGAATTGGCATAATTTCTTAGTTAAATGTTTGGTAGAATTTGCCAAGTGAAACCATCTGAGCATAGTACCTGCTGTTTTGGAAGGTTATTAATTATTGATTCAATTTCTTTTATATATGC